CCCCCAAACATAGAAATCAAATATTTATTTTTCTTTCTTCCTAATATTTTTCCTGTCTAGACATCTGGAGCCAAATGTTCAAAATATATTCCAACCACAATCTATCTTCTCTGCTTCTTTCACTTCTTTCTAGACGCCTGCTGTAGTTTTTTCCTGACACATCATACCCACATTGAAGCAAAAGCTAAGTAACAACAAGCTTCGCTGATAACAATGTGATTAAAATTTTTTAAAAGTAGGTCTTTTTCTACTCTCCCTCAGTATTCTCCTTCATCTGCTCATATAGCCTCCAGTCCCTGTAAAGTTTATGTTATCATTCTTTCCTGATGACCACTTCAACTTTACCTTCCTTGCCTTGTCTTCGTCATGCTCAAATGAAATGCTGACTAAGCCTGAAGACACTCAGGCTCACTACGTAGTGAGTCACTGACTCCATGATTCCGTGAAGTTCTCCCAGATCACCATATCACACATGAAATGGAAAACGTTATTTTTTACTCCCAGCTAATCCATCACTGGCTGCCGCTCTTAAATCTTAAATCAACATTTGTCTCTTAAACAGTTAACTGCAAAGTGGCACAAAGTTGCAGGGAACAATTTGAATGCAGCTATTTAGGTTTTTTTTTTTTCTTGGTTAAGGCTGAAACTTTGCACGTAGAACTTGAAAATTCTACAGAGGCAGTACGTTTATTTTTAACTACTGCTCATGAAGGCAACGGTAGTCACAATATTCTGTGACCCTACAGAAAGAGAAGCCAGGCTAAGCTCCGTGGGCTTCATTTAGGCATCAGTCTTCGTTTTTTATGTCCCCTTGTTAAAGGTCATAAAACTATGGCATACAACAGAGATAAGGTTGCCCTGCGTCACCTGGTATATTTCCAAACAATCGTAAGAATACTTAACTCCCTGAAAATAAGAGAATGAAAAACTAAGTACAAGTACGGAGTATATCCCAATTTTGAAGCACAACAATAGTGCTAGTTGAAAACACTGAGAATAGCTCAAAGCCATATTACACTAAATGATATTTGGAAATTTTAAGTTATATGGCATTATTTTGCTGTGGTCTAAACTTTTAATTCCATGATTTTTCTGTATGCAATGTTAACAGTCTTCACTGTACTATTTACAGCCATACCAAGGGGCACAAGGTGACTTAAATCTTACTAGAAATATACAATCCATTCGGTAAAAGAACTATATATCACCTTATTTTAGTACTAACTGCTGTATTATTTATTAGCACCAATCATCCTAACACACAAATTCTCATCAGTGTTAATAGCTCGCGTAAGTCTTTGGGACTTAGTGTGGAAATGCAGTTTTTCAGAAGGAATTTTCTTGACAAAGCCAAAAGAAATCACAACTTTTAACTAGTATGGGAGGAAGTGCATGCAAAATAAGGTCAGCATTTGAGAATGAGGTCACCTGAAAGTACCTCTGGTGCTCCATATTGACTAAATATGAGGTTTGGCTGAGCAGACAAAGGTGTTTACGGGTGGGGTTCATGCTCACATTTCCTCAAACGCAATGTAGCATCTCTACGCTGTACTGTGTCTCAGAGCATGCCGAGTCACTGCTCAAAAAGGGCAAGGGCAAGGTTGGCTCCCTGAGTTACGTATCAGCTCTGTTTAGAGTTATCTAACATGATGCCTCATAGGACAAACAACCCATATAGAAGCACTGGTACTTGAAATTTTACTGCATTTTCTGAATTTTGCTGCTTCTTAAAGATGCCTTTGGCCCCTATACTCCATAGATTCAGTTCTCTGCTTTTATGTGCATGTTGACTGCAGGCTTTCTTGGCTCCTCCCTTCAAATTAAGGCTAAACTCTTGCACTGCACAGTGAACGTGCGTATAGCTTTCCACCCAAAGTAGCTTTTGCTCCTCGCAAGAGTATGCTCTGCTTTTGAATTTGGGATTTTCAAAGTATATGAGCCATCATTCAAGCTTGTCACTCCTATGCTGACACTTTAATAGGTAGGCCAGAGCGTAACGTGAAGATGTAAACATTGGTAATGTAATAGATTAATATAGGCCCACCATGGGGAGTCACTATCACTGCAACAGATGCCTTGTTTAGGACTATGATCATAATTTCATTCTAATATGATTTTGTAGATTGCTGATTAGGACAGAAGATGAGGTAGGGGGCAGGCTGGAAATCCTTTCATTTACACAATGACCAGTCAGTTCAGGAACTCCACTATTCACCTTCAGAAGGCACAACTACTTTCAAGATCAAAAGAGCAACACAGAATTTTTGAGCACATCGTATGGCCGTATGGGTTTTCTTTTTTTTTCTTTCTGAGAAACAGAACTGATGCTGTATGCAATTATTTGATTTGAAGTTCTACTACAAAAATGCTGAATTACACAATCTAACCTACGCAACTTAAGCAAGGAACTTATCCGGTCTTGCCAACTACAGGTTTTCAATACACCTACCTCTCTTACTGATAAAATTCTGTTGATCACTTCTTGCCAAGCCAAACATCCTCGCTTGCCCAGTTTTGTAATTAAGCTTCTAAAATTAACCTAAAAGCCGCTGTGCTTTTTAATCTTTCTAGTAGGACCACTGCTAATGACTTCTTGCAGCTGCAGCCCTGCTTGTACTCATACACTCTCTTAATTTGTCCTTGACGTTGAAGTTGTAGTTGAAGTTGTATTACTCTCACATTCCCAATGCATCCAAAAAAGGAAAGGATGGGGAGGAGGACTGGAAGGGGGGGGGGGGGGGGGGGCGAACAATCCTCTGAAAGTACTCTGATCATTTTTGCTGTTTGCCAAGCAGGACTTTTCATGTTAAGTCTGAATACTTTGCTATATATGAGGGTCTATTACACCCCCTCATACCCCTCCAAAAACGTCCATCAAAATATTTGTGACTTTTGAAAAGCTCCATTTTGCTAAGACAGTGTATGCATATACTAAACTGAAGGAAGAGGGAAACTGTTCACTTTTTACCTTACTTTTGTTTTTCAGAGGGAGAGAAATATCAGTGAGTGATGGACTAGACAGAGTAAGACCAGAGACAAGGATTATGATGACATGAAGGAGAATAAATGTGGAATGACAGGTGGAAGGGACAAGTGAAAAAATGTAAAGGAAAAATAAGAACCCAGGAATTATTATAGAAGATCATATTTTTCAGAATTCTGCAATGAATTTTTGCTTATTGAAAAGTCTAAACCATAGAAAGATCCAGGAAACCACCAGCTACTTTTCAGAAGAGGTTTAAAAAAAAGTTCATCAAGATTCAGCAATTAAAACACGTTAACAATAAACTTGTATTCCTAATTTAACACGTATTCCCACAAAGTATTACTTCTAAAAGCAGATATCCAGAATGACATAAACAGTAGCTGTTCTAATTCACAGTGTGGCTATACTGCTCAGAATAGTATTTTTCAAAACACCTAATTCCGCAATTTCCCCTTACACTGAGTGACCTACTCAAGCTGAATAGTAGCTTGCTCAAGTCTAGAAGAGTCGACGATAGTTTAAGAATTCTGAAATGCATTGTGTCTTAGTAATAATGTTTGTCCTGTTAGGAAGATTAAAACAATAATTCCATACTTCCAGAAATATTAACAGATACTACAGCATTTTTCCACGGACTATTTAGTCACAGCTCTAGTGACTAAACAATTTAATGCATTCTGCTTTCACAAAATTATTTTAAATAGTTTAAAATATATATATGGTTAAATTAATCCTTCTTAAAGAACATTTTCTCTGACTTCGACACAACAGACCAATCACTAGAAAATTTATTTCATGATAAGGGTGACAAGTGAAACACTTTGTAAAGGCTATTGCTTTAAATAAGCTAGGAGATCACGCTGTAAGACCCCCATCAACTTTAAATTCCTCGTATATTTCAGGGAGGGAAATTAACAAGAAATAAACAATATGGAGAATGGGATGAACAATTTATTTTCTTTAAAGCAGCTTTCAAACGTAGAAAACACTGGAAAGGGACTTGAAGGGCTCTTGCATGGTTTTTTTTCATTTTTATTTTTTTTAAACCACTCTGCCGTGACCGTACACTTTCTTCCCAGCTGTCAGCAAAGGCTCCTCCTTGCTGACAACTCCTGTAACATGTTTCTTCCTTACATATTTGCCCTACAACCTGTGTAAACAGGAGAACCTGCTGTTGAGCACCTAGAACCTGCTGCTGAGTACCTAACAGAGGACCAACTGCCTGGTTTCAAAGAGAAATTTGAGAAAGAGGTGATGGAGTAGCCTAACAAGAAGCACTGTGATGCTCTGGGCACATATATATAGCATTTTCAGGCTAACTTCTCCATCCCCTCTCAATCTCCCTATCTACATAAAAGATAACTGTCACTATTACAGTATAGGTTCACCTATTAGAAACCTAGACTAGGTAGACCTTGCCAGCTAGACCACCTGTTTCAGAGAGAGAATTCCACGCTCATGCAGTGGCTTCTGCACTAATTTTGGTATAGTAGGTTCATTATATGAAATAACATCAACAAATTGTTCTTGGTTTTTATCCATTCCAGTCAAACTATGACAAAATAAGATGACTACATGTCTGTGAAACTTTTCTGCTTCTTTGGGACTGCAAAAAATGTCAGAATTTCAAATCATGCCCAGACTCCAACTGAATTGCTTATCTAATAGTCAGTTTTACACTGGGGGAAAAAAGTTTGATTTACTATTGCTAAGACCTAAACTATTTTTAAACATGCTCAAACATGCTCTAGAAATGGAAAAAATTTTAAATGGTGTTTAGCAGACCTTTTCAAACCACCACCTTTCATTGAGCATGTGGAAAAAAAATCTGTAAATACTATAAAGCTGCTTTCTGTCTTAATTCTGATGCATTACTTGTTATCACGCTACACAATACCCAGACACTTTCGATTATTAAACTTACTATCAATTTCTTAATTATACAAATAAAATTAAAATAGATATGCAAATCAATAACTAATGATACATGCAATAAAAGTGAAAAAGTACTTACATTAAATTTAATAATGTCATATATTAAGTACCGAGGGACAACCTGTCCATTAACCTTGTCGATGATCATTTCCTTAAAAGAAAAGAGATGACATTTACATTTATTTCATGAATATAAAAGAATGTCAACACATTTATACCTAGTGCATATACGTGTATGCATTATGTAACCAAGTGCTGGCCATATCTTTATTACAAAAAAGATTTTACAACAGATCAAGATTATAAAAATAACATTATGGTATATTAAATGCTTCTCATGAAGCAGTCAATTAAAATCCAGAAAGCTGTACTGAGAATCCACATTCTGATCCGCAACATTTATACATCAGTTTTCGCCCAGCTTTCAAAATTGTTACCTTTCCTGAGTGAATAATATTTTTTAAAAAAATCTCAGTAAAAACTGTGATCAGTTGAGTAATGACTTTTGGAAATCTCCACAATAACAAGCAAGTAGAACAGCAAGGAAGTAAAGAACAAGCATCAATGTTCATTTTCTACGTTCAGATTTTGTCTTTCAACGTGTTCTAAGCAACAGTAACAACTGCAACTTGCTTGAATGCTGCATTGTGACTAAGCAGTGGGACTCCTTGAAATGGAAATAACACACACAATAGCTATATCACATGAAATTATTTAAATTTCAATATACACTGGTAATCTTGAAAATATGTCTGCAAGGAGAGAGTCTATTAACTGTCAACATACAAACACAAAAGTGTTTCCTGAAATTATGTTACAAACAAATACATATACATCTGACATGCTGATGCTTACATCTGTAACTCAGACTTGCTATTATATGAATTCCACATCGTTTATTAATAAACTAATAAAAATGATTTTGTTTGATAGAAATTAGTCATGACTGAAAACGGTTACATCTTCGTAGACAATTCTGAAATAGTCCCTTCTCTAAATGCAAGCAAACTCCCCCTGTCCCCCTTTCCTGGAAAAGGGGAAAGTTGTGCCAGCTAAGGATTTTTTGCTGCTAATAACAAATTAAAATGCCCAATTTACACGTGACATGAAACAGAAGGAAAAAGTAAAAATAATTCACTATCACATGAGGAAAACAAGATTATGAGCTTAACAACTAACCCAAAAGAGAACCTTAAATCAAATTTGTTTCTTGCTAGGCCAGTAGAATTTTTACATTTATAACGTTTTAACCTCTCTTAGGATCCATTACATCTACAAAGTGAACCAAAACAAGACCGCCAATGTAATTTAATTCAATGAGTGAAAAATACTCCTTGGAAATATTACACCACCTTATTCTTAACTTTAAAAATCATTTAATCATAGATCCTGTCAAAAAAACATTGAGAAAAAGTCTATGTAGATGTGATGTAATGAAATGTCATTCCACTACTTCCCCAAAAAAAAAGATGCTGGCAGACTACCAAAGGAACAGCAGAACTTCTTCGACACTAAATTTTACAATTAACTGTGAGAAGACACAGAACTGGTACAC